GAGTTCCAGAAAATTTATTTATTTATTTAATTAACATGCAAGTGAGCTTACAGATTTATATCCAAAATAGGTACATTAAACATATTTATGTATTAGGTGTTAGAAATTAGGTTGTCGTTATACTATCGAATGTATATTTATCGGTGCCTAGATATCAACAGCCTATAAGGATGCTTCGTATCGTAGGATTATGATTGGATACGGAACTCTTACAAAATAAAACAAAAAAGCGTTGCCCTCTCACCATCTCCTCGATCTCAAACAATGCGTCAGTAAACTATAATTAAAAGTGGAGGTTGTATCGCTTTTTTGTCCGTTTTTTGTGGCGCAGGCGCAGGAATCTAATCCAATTGCTCGGCGTCGACTAATTGATTGGCCAGTGTTGACTTTGTTTCTTTATCTCGGGGGAGGTAGCCGGGGTGTTTTGGAAGTTTTTGTGTCGCGTGTGTCCTGAAACTGGTATGAATAGTTTTGGTGCATTTTTCAAGAGTTTCAAGAACTTTACGAAACTCAAAATTGGTTACTTTTGTAATGTGTGATCTTTCACAACCTAACTAGGTTATAGAAAACTATCTGACTTATAAGTGGTAGGCGTTAAAAATAAGATGATTTTTTTGCAGTTTAACCCTTCAATAGATTCTCAGTGCTGGCCATAACCAACCATAATAAGTTATTTGAGATTTTATTCCAAGAGAGGCACCTAAGTTGCGAGTTAAAAAACTTTGATACAATTTTAAATATCCTGCGCCTGATTGGAATGCCTTCGGATCTCGAACCAAATTCACCAGGCTTTCTTAACATATGCAGTGTTAGTATATTATTATAACTAAATGTTGGTGGAGGAATTCCATTCGACGCGCCGCGCGGTCCTCAATTAAAGTTGTTTAGATTTTTGCAGGGCGCCCTTAAGGAGAAGCTCTACAGAATTAAAATATTCATTAGACTTCATAGAATATTGGTTTAGAGATTCACTAGGCTACTAAAAATGCGACATCGCTAGTTTGAGTCTTGCTGACTTAAAAATGATTTTGTGGCGAGCGATTATTGTAGTTAATCTGTTACAGATTGATTTTGATGGATATATGACTGTAATTTTTTAGTATTCAACTATAAGTTCCTTTTGTTTATCCCGTTAATATCGAAATAACTATTCTGATTCTAGAAACTATTGTTTTCTTAATAAGTTCTTGTTGGCCTTACTTCAGTCAGTAGTCTGCTCCTTAAGCAGTATTTTAAAAAGTCCGGTAGGCGTGGCTACACAAGAGCCATTAAAACATATTGAAACCCTTTCGGCTTCTAACCCAGCTTTATTTTGGATTTATTTGTTCTGAAGAATGCGCGCTATGCCGCCGACCTTGACTCTAAGGTCTTGGGTCTTCGGACTTGGGGGAAAGGACAAAGAAAGCCTGAGTTTGAGATTCAATGGGCCTGTTCTAATTTCGATTTGATTTTCCTAACATAGAGACAAAGCAGCAGTGGGTAAATTGTACGGTGCGCTATACGTTTCGCCCGCCTGTTCCATTGTCGCATGCTGTAAGTGTTCTGAGCGCTAATAACACATACAGCAGTGTAGTTCTTACTTGTTGTAAACAGGTATTAGAAACCTTTTATGCATTTTAATGAGCAAATCGTTATTACATGACAACTGGCCACAGCGTTCAGAGAAGGTACATATTAATATAAAAATTGTAGCATCTTTATAATGCATCATGCAACAACACAACCTTCAACTGCTAGTGGTTGACTACGGTGGTTTCACTATGGTTCATTTTACGAGGATCAGTTGGCGCGGTTGCCATGGCAACCGTGATCCCGCTTTGAGCCGCCGCCGTAATCTCCAAGACTTCGCATTCCTCACACAAACTGCTCATGTGAAAAAAATATCGACAAGGCAGCTCGAGCTATGCTGGTCGATGGTTCCGTAACGTATTGTCAGCGATTGAGCATACTATTTGTTTGAAAAGTAATTTAATTAGAAATCTTTTTATAAACAAGACTTTACAGGAGTCTGTGAAATAAATCATTTTCTAGAGTTACATAGGTATTGGCTGTGGGGCCTGTGGGGACTAAACTAAATCAGCGAAATCATAAAACCCTTTCCATAAAACTCTAAAATAAACCGTGAAAATCGTCATTTGGTTTTGAAGGTGTTACCCATATCGCAGCCAATGCACAAAGATATGGTCCGAGGTGTGAGATTTTTCCCAATTGGGAAAACGCTAGAATTTCACACCTTTGCTCAAATCAAAGCTGTGATAATGACCCACCGCGGTGCGATGGTGCTTCTCCGTTGCCATGGGACCCCTAAAGCCTACTCTACCAGCCCGGCGTTACAATAATGCTTACCTATGAATAATAAGATCAAATAAAATGAAGAAGAAAAAGCATTCCATGCAACACAATCGAGGGACATGTAGACGCATTATACGCGCGCACAATGCGACGGCTTTGTCCCCCCAGACGCACAATGGGTTTTTTACTTGGGACACTGGTTCCCAACATGTGAGCTGGCGTTGGGGACAGCTCGGGTACAGTTTCTTTCTAGAAATTGTAGCCCTGAATATCCAAACACTATAATCCGGGCCTTTTCAAGGCGAGAGTGAATAGACACTTACAGGGCAGATATTATGTACCATCCTAGACTGCATCCTACTTAACACCAGGTGCTATTGCGGTCAAATACCTGCCTTGTCATGCATAAAAAAAAATCAATCAACTGTGATTTGTACCTACTCTTTTCTTCTGTAGTTTTCAGACAAGGCAAATAATCTTTTCTGTAATTTCAAATATTACGTCAGATTGCTCATTTTAGGAGTATAAAAACTAAAATGCTGAATAGGCGCTGAGTTACAATTAAAGTAGACTGAAAATCTGCAGCACTGGTTGTATTTTGGTTAAAGGTACATATTAAATATTCAGGTATAAATATTTTTTTTTTAAATAAAAATTTATGCAAAAGAACTTACATTTTGAGCTGGTACTAAGCTGACTACATTGCTTTCAAAATGTTGAGAATACGAGGCCGACTCTCATTCAGTGTCACTGTGCTGGTCTGGCCATGATAACCAGTAAGCATAGTCTTCTTATGCTTGCATAAAGTGAAGATACACAACTTTTAAATTGATGGAACTTATTGAACATATTGGTTACCGTGAAATTAAGTAAAATGGCAGAAGAGTACATTGATATAATTCATTGGTACATATTTAATACCTTCAATCAATGAGGTAGAAAATAGGAATTATAATAACTAGTGCACCACTTCCCTCACTCGTCCAGACTTCTTGACAGCTCGTGCTCACCCCCAATCGATGAATATTGTATGACCTTATTAGCATAATCGCCGACAACTGACGACCCGCGAGGTGCGGGGCGGGCCGACGCGGACTAATAAAATGCATACACAACTTTGGAAATTAATAAAAAACAAGACAAGCGCGAGTCGAGGATCAAAATACGGGTTCATTGAAAAATAAAACAATCACTACATATATCATAAAACAAAGTAGCTTTCCTGTCTGTCTGTCCCTATGTATGCTTAGATCTTTAAAACTACGCAATGGATTTTGATGCGAATTTTTTTAACAGATATGGTGATTGGTGATTCAAGAGGATGGTTTTTAAGTATAAATACATTGTAGGTACCTGTACTAAGGCGGGTCGCTAGTTAAAAAATTATACTATCTCTAAACTGTCTGGACTCTGCTTTGAATTGTAATGGCTCTACCTAACACTGCCTTCTTTCCGATTTCCTTCTTACTCATTCAATTCTCCTTAATTTATTAAACAACATTTTGAAGATACAAATTATAGCAATGGTTAACTTTCTAATATTTTGAGGATCTCTGAATGCATACAAATATTTTTTAAATAAAATTACCTACGCTACGACACATTTCGGGTGGTGACGCCTTCGACCGTTTATCTATTAATGATAAAATAAATAAAACAAAATGTCTGTCCACTAATATTATGCGTGCTTTTATGCTTTGTTTCGCTTGTTACGACTTGTTGATGGATATTTTGTATAATGTCGTGTGTTGACACAGGTTTTTATAGTTTTTTTCATGTGTAAGTATTTTCGGTTTGTCAATCTTTAACGTGAAACAAAATAATAAAAGCATTTACGACTTTTCATTATGACTTGCATGATAATATTGGTAATATGTTGCAATAAAATTCTTTTTATAAGTACGGAACTACGGAAACAACTTACTTTTAGTAAAAATGACAATAATTATATGCATTATGTTTGGTGAATCAAAGTTTCGCAGCGTTCGGGTGGTCCTTATAATATGTTTTATTTGCATACCGCCGGGCCACACACCTCTGCCGAATATCGCACACACATTGTTTTTTTGCAAAGGTTAATAAACACTAAATGATTTTATTAACGTTTGTAAACCCTAAAATCATAAATTTATTGCGCATTTTTGTGACTAATCTCATAAAATATCATTGGCATTTTTATCTCAAACATTTAAGGGTTAAGAATAAAAAGTCTATTTGCATTTTTAAGAAAAGCAAAACCTTTTTTATTTGATATTTTTCTGCCATTGACGTCAAGGTGTTGATTTATTTTTATGTGTCATTATGTCAAATGGTTTTGGTTGCAACAAAATTTTCTGTGAAATGAATGATGGAATATAATAATAAAGGTCAGAGAAATCAGCCTTTGAGTGCTACAAATCATTTTACGGAATCGAACGCAGGGCACATATCCGTACAAACCACTAGTCCGTTCCTGAACAAAGTAAAGGAAAGTGAATACAAAGTATCCGAACAGACCCAAAGCAATAAAAAGACCCTGAGCACCAGTGTAATGCACAAAAAGCTACCGAAAGATGTATCTTCGGGGACTTCCAAGATGCTTATAAATCAAATCCTGGGAGATAGTAACATAGACAACGAAACGATAATAAGCTTAAACAAATCATACACTGAAAGGAATCTAAATGTTGAGAAACAATGTAATTATAATCAGAACTTTCTTATCAGTAACGTTGACTATAAATATTCCACACCAACATTTAATTCTAAATCTTTTAGCATGCAACATGGATCGTGTTCCAGAGAAGACTCAATAGTTCCCAGCAGGACTACTGATGATTACAGGAATGAACGTTTCCAAATTACCGATGAAAACTATTCCAATGGTGCACTTAATGAAAAAAAGTTTGCTGAAAAGACAACGTACTGTCGACCTTCTACAACGTTCAAACAGGAATTCATCAACAAGACTGTAGAAAGGAATAACAGATTACAAAGGCTAGTGAAGAAGCTAATTCTCATCAGAAAGAAAGAAAAACAAACAGAAGCATGGAATAACTATATCAATGAATTAAAAAATAAACATAAATATTATGATACCGAGTTTGATCGAATAATAGGACGCCATACTCTAGAGGAACCTACGCCACACGAATACATTAATGACTACTACGACAATCAGTCAAGGCCTTGTCGAAATTTGTTACAAGACTTCTACGACGCATATAGTACCATGGAACTGAATTCAAATAATTGCAAAATAGAGCAACGATATCCCCAAAACTATAAGTCAGCGCCACGTCAGAACTACAGATCATATTTTTCTCAATCAAATTGCTATCCAATGTCTTCACAGGGTCGTCTTATGATGTTAAATAGAGAAAGAAAAAGAAATCCTAATGAATGGCAACAACGTCCTACAAGACCTGTATATGGGAATGTAATTTATGTTGATAAAGAACCTCCTCGTGCGAGACCAAGATTCAATGATGATTCTCCCAGAAGAAAATGCTGTTGTGCAATAGCCAATTGTGCCATACAAACTGAACATAGTGTCCAATTTGCAGATGAAGTCGCCAACGAGGAGGTTAAAGAAGAAGGAACAAATACAGGCGCAGAAGCTGTGCAAGAAACTGTTAAAGAGGCATACGCTAGAGTTTCTGAAAATGTTGAAAGATTGAAGGCAAGAATTCAAGAATCCTGCATTGTTGATCGACGTGCAGTTTTAGAAAGCATAGAAAACAAATTGGATAGTTTAATTACTTCAATTAATTCTTTCATAGATGAGGTAAAATCTAGAACTTACGTCAACCAATGCTATGATTGTCGTTCAGTATATTTGGATCGTCCTAAACCTTGTAGCCATAACATGAATGTTACCAAAAGTGATACTTATGGAATGAATAAAGCTGAAAAATTGGTTTGTGGAATTATTACAGAAGATTGTAGTACGCCATCAACATCAGGATTAGATAAAAAATTAATAGAAAAATCGAGAGGGACAACCATTGATAGAATTCTTATGGAAGAAATTAATAGCAGTAACCGAGCAAAACAGGACATTGAGAATATGTTAAGTGGGAGCGTTGGTTGTCCGTGCTCTGTTCAGATTTCATTTGACATTCCCACGAAAGAACGGTCTACTGAAGTTACGGAGTCTTTAGAAAAGGCTGTGCCTAAGTTAGAGGACAATACATCTGTTTCTATCGAGGAAATAGACAGGAGCGTAGGAGAAGGTGATGCTCCCCAGATGACTATAGCCGTGAACACTGATCCTTTGGGATTGTTGGCGTTGTTGCGGGTATCCAAAGAGGCTGTGAAGCAGCTGTTGTCTTATATGCCGAATATTCCTTACCATTCCTACATACTGTCGATGATGAACACCCCGCAAACTAGTCAAGCCGCTAGCTACATTTGTAATATTTGTGGAGCAGCTTTCAGGCGGCCGTCCCAGCTTAGCGACCATATTCAAGGGCACGACTTGACTAAAACAAGGTTATAATGCAGATAGATCTTCTAGCATGTAAAATAATTGTAATCTGACAATAGCACGTACTAAAATTGAATTGTTTTGTTGCAGAGATTGCTGCGTATGCCGGCACATCCTGGACATGCAGCGCCACCGTTCCCCGGGGCTGTTTCTGTGCCGGTACTGCGGGCAGCGGTTCACGCGCGCCTATTGCTGCGAGCTGCACCAGGAGGCCTGCGCCAGGCGCCTGGGCCGCACCCACGACGTCTCGCCCAGCCTCATGCTGCTCAGGTAGCTTCAGGCAAGTGGTGCGGTTCATTTGATGACAATTCAATCAATTTAAACGCCAAGTTAGCTTGTTAAAAAGTATTTGAAATCACGCAAGACTTTGACTTTATTATCATTGCTGTCTTTGTCAAATAAATTAATATTATTTCTAGTGAAATCGGTAAATGTGTTATTTATGTAATTGAGAAGTTTAATTTTGAACTGTGTCTTGTAAATTCGTATTATCACGTGTACATTTTGTTGGATTCCAATAAAATTTCGTTACTGAATATATCTGTCGTATTTATCAACAACTGTCCAGTTTGGGTTCTCTTCAGTTTTTTTGTTGCCCGGTGGGCCGGCCCTTGGGTCGATGTGGACAAAATCTTCACTTTTTCGGAAACGTGGACGCATAATTGGGCATAAGGTGAGCTCTATAAAGGCCTTTGTGCCCGCCGCCTCGCATACATCACCCTTGTTTGTCAAGGGTCCAAGCATCCATTATTGTGAAATGGGCATAAAATTCTGTCGATACATTTCAATAGTGAATGCGACATTAAGTATAATTATGTCAGGTTTGAGGTGAAACTATGTAATGATATTACCATTGAGAAATTTTGCTTTTGTGCTGTGATTCGGAAAAATGCGGACCGTTTTTGTGAGAAGTATATCACGAGGTCTTTGGACTAGTAGCTCAGAATAATAATAAGTACTACGTACAGAAGTTTTACTTCGCGAAGGTATTTAAAAAAATGTATGCTCAATGTCATTAACAATATGGTGTAATTTCGCCTGTCTCAAGAGTCAAGCACCATTTTGTAGACAAACGTCAGTGATTGGCACTGCGCCGAAGCTATAGGGCTGACTTCGGTAAAATGATGTGACGTGAGGTGCCAAACTGCGGAAAATGGCGGAGGAAATACATGATTTAGCATGAATTATCATGAATAATATTAACTACTTATTTACCTCTCAGTGTCCTGAGGCAACTTAAAAAAGTACATTCTGTGTTTTTATTATTATTTAGGCAGTTAAATACTGCACAGTATTTAGTACACCATTTTCTTTATTTTCTTCCATCATACACAAGAATACGCGTGCGTGAGTCAATGTTCGCTCGTATGTGAGGCCTTGTCGAACAGTATCCTGTAGGTGGGCCATCGTGCGTGTTTTGTTTTGGATGTAAACTCGCGGAGATGAACAGGCCTGCTAGTAGTATCTGATATTGTTTATTTGTATCGAACGGTACCCGTATGAGTTAAATAATTTCACCTATTAGGCTCTGCATTATACATTGTTTGCCCACTATCAGTGATGTGTTTATTTTCAACATTACCGTAGCGTGTGGTCCCACAGAAAAACACGCAATTGTATCTATAAGTTACACGTTTTTTTCCAAAAGACAATGGTCAGCGGCAATAAGCGTCAAATACCTGTACAACTCTCTCATCCTCTTCCCGAAACGGAAACATGTAAAAAAATCATCCGTCCGCATTCTTATCTTTTTCGCAATGGGACGTTTAGTGTTGTGCCACACTAGGTGTAAATTCAATAATAAGGTGACACAAAAGGTTTTTGTCCGGTGACTGAGCCCTGGCCCACCGGGGGGCGAAGCCCAGTGGGTCTGATCGACCACAGCTCTTTGAGATCAGTCCGATAATTTGCAGATATTTCAGAATCTTTGCAACTATGCCAGCATAGCCACATTTGCTAATTTTGTTTTAGCGGGAAGGCGCTGGATGCAGGCCGCTACCAATCGGCCTATATGGAAATCATTAGGGGAGGCCGATGTTCAACAGTGAACGTCCTATGGCTAAAATGATGATGATGATGTTAGGTAACATGAATAACATAATTAGATAATGAATTTTAATTTAAGAAGTTAAAATATAAGTTCTTCTTCATAGCGAACTTTCGCCAAAGCTCGTGGTCAATCAGATGGGCTGTCTGTCCTCCCGGCCCTACGGCCGTGGGTCTAATTTATACACCGTTAAATATTTGGCACGCTGCAGCCAGATCATGTCCGTTCTATTTGTTTGGGTGAAACTGCCGCGACGTGGGAAGCTATAAACAGATTAGCCACTATTCATTTCTACGCATTTTTTTGTAATTTCTCTTTTATTGCTTTTTGAGATCGCAATATTTTGGAGATTAAAAAGTTGGATTGCATATTCACCACGCTTTCCAAATGCAGGTTTCAAAACTTCTAAGTGATGGCTACGAGTATTTAGAGTTATTTTTATTAGGTACATGTATAAAGAAAGACTACCCCTCTTATTAATTTAAAAAAGTATTAAAAAGTGATATCCGGATTCCGGTGAGAAGGCAATGTTTTATTTTTATGTGGATAAAAAATATATAATTTACTTTTTGTTTGGTGGTATTTACTACAGCTACAGTTGTAAATCCTGAATTTATTTTCAGAAGTCTCATTATGTAGGAGTTTTGGGAAGAACTTTGGACTCGAAAAGTAAATAATAAATCTTACAGTAAAACGCCAACCGATTTTCAACACAATCACACTCAACTTGCAACAAAGTAAGAGTATTTAAATAAAAAACCAATTCAGGCTAATAAGATTCGAATAAAAAACACAGTGAACCCTCCATTTGACGGCGGTCGCGAGGCTTCCAAATGTTTCTGTATAAAAACCCATTTCTCACCGACACAATCCCGCCAGAAACGGCGCCGAAAATAAAATTAAGATGTTCAGAACTAACCCTTACCGGGCAGAGCGATATAATCCTTCTTATCGGCAATGATCTAAATGACCCGAAAACTGTTAGCCCTTTTTCCTTGCGCCTTAAAGTTCTTTTTGAGGCGCTCGTGGAAGGACATTAAATGAATACTAAACAACGCTCATTCGAAGCCACGGTGATTCCACATTGACAGATAAACGAGGTTGGTGGGTTTGCTTATTATTTTTTTCTATGTAGGTATTTTGGTTTGCATTGTGTTTTATCATTGCATCTCAGTTAAAACGATGTGAGCCAAGTTGTTTAATGCGATCTTTGCCTTTGACACCACTTTTCAGTTTGTCACTCCAAAAATTAGAATGATGTTAGCCTCTTTCAATTTTTTTCATTTATGGTTAACAAGAGGCTCATTTTTGCTTGCCTTATCTTAAATTAAATATTAACTTTCTACGAGTATCTATTCTATTTTATACAACATATTAAGTCCTTACGGTCGGTCTGGTCATCCTTTGTTTTGCTAAATCAAAACACCATTTTATGGACTTCGCGACGTGACGCGACGTAAAGGAGAATACTGTGTTTATTGAATCTTTATTTGCAAGAATTAATAAAAAATAAATGATCGAATTTACTCGTATACTGAAGTATTCATTGTGTTACGATCACATCCCACAAACTGAACGTATCAAGTCCATAAACGTATCGGTTGCCACTGACGTGCATTATCTCGCTACTGCTACCAACACCCTTGATATCAAAACAAGCCCTGATAAGATAGCACGCGCCCGCAAGGTGCATTGGCGACAAACATTGGCCACACATTGGCGTTGGCTTGGCTCATGTTTGATTGAGGAGCAGGTGCTGTGACAATACACGATATTCAGCTTGGTTTGGGTAAACTTTGATATTATCCTAATCTTGCTGACAAATTGATAATGTAAACATTTATTTATAGTATAAATTCTGTTTTTTATTAAGTTTCGTTCTTGGAAAACGAACAGAAGTTACTATGTTAACACAACTACGATTCTTACGTCGTCGTCGACGTCTAGGTGATATCTTGTAGTTTAATTTTGCACAGTTAGGTTTAGTTACACCATCTTACTAATACCATTAGCAAAGCTCGTACTTTAATAAACGTCAAAAATCTGTCGAACTCTATAAAACACCGGTTAATGTTATAGTTACGATTAAAGTAGGTTGGTGCAACTCAGCCTTAGATATCCCTATCGTTTGGTGAAGCAGTATTTAATAGTCTATGCAAATACAATATTTTTGACTTTGACCTAAATGACCTTAATGTTTATCCTACGGATAATAAGACATTACCTACTTTATCTTAATAGCCTAGTTACAATAATAGTCTAGTAATTAGGGAAATCCATCGGAAGCTCTCGGAAGTGGCAGCCAGGACGTCCCCGACAGGATCAATAAAGGATGAGTCAGCCCTCACCTCGCATGCCGGCCGCATTACCATGATGGCTCCACGGGGAATTACTCCACTGGATGGGGCATTAGGAACCATTGAAATCGAGCCACGCAGAAAAAATCTATTTGGGCATGTCTGACAGATGAGATACTCATAGTTATTTAATTTTTAGCGTTAAGAGTCGCATCTTAGGCAGTTCGATTTTTTCAAGTTATTTATTAATTTTCAGATGAGATACTCGACCAAGATTGTTGTTGGTTGCGATCCACGCGAATAGTGCTTGCTCAGATAATTCTAGAATCAAGCTAGAATCAGATTCAGAATCAGAATCATCATTTATTTGCTTTAAATGTGGGCAGTTAGGGCAAAATCTCTACTAAAAGCTCACCTAACGATGGTTTACTTGCTTTATGAAGTACGAAATCATATTTTTTTATGTCAATCAGGTAGATAATGAAACTGGGAACAATGACACAAATAATTTTACATTTTGTGTCTTCCAGCTGGTTATCGAGCTCAGGACGATCAGCGACTCAAGAATTAAATTGCATCCTCTATCTAAAAAACCTAATACAATAGACTACATTTCGGTCAAGGTAAACGAATCGCCTTTTTCGTCGTATCCAGTAGAGCCTTGTAGTCGGTGTTTCCTCGGTTTAGCGGAAACCGATGCAAATGCCCATCGCGGGCGCGCGCCGCATCGCAACGAGCTGCGCGTGCGCCGAAAGGAGCAGTATTCCAATAATGAACTCTTATTAGACCACGAAAGGGAGTTGGGGGTTCATCTCAGAGGTCAAATGTAAAAGAGATACGGATCGAAGTCATATTTTTATTCGTTAACCTGCTTCATTTACTCTTGATGCATTGTCTTTTAACTACTTCTTCAAGAAAGTAATTTAATGCTAGAATGAGTAATAGAGGATTTTTTACCCGACTACGGCAAAGCAAAAGGAGGTTTATGATTTTGTTTTATACTTTTTCAGAGTCGTTTTTTGTCGTAGTTGGGTTTTATTTTATGCATAACAAGGCAGATATTTGACCACAATCGCACCTGATGTTAAGTGGGATGTAGTCTAGGATGGGACATATCTGCCCTATACTTAAGTGCCTATTCACTCT